TGGACAGTTGCCTGCAGCTGCTCGAGGACAAGTTCCTTGGGGACCAGGCCTTCCTCACTGGTCCCCAAATCTCTGTGGCTGACTTGGTGGCCATCACGGAACTGATGCAGGTGAGTGCCGCGGGGTGGGGTGGCCTGCTGAATAGTCGGGAGTCCTGGGAAGGGGCTGAGTACCCCACTCATGTTGACCTTCCTGGCCGTGGGACTCTGGAGGAGTCTGTGTCCTGAGTCTCAGTCTCCTCCCCTATAAAATGAATCCTTATATGCTGGGGATTGAGCTCAGTTGTGCCTTGCCTGCCTGAAAAGCACAAGGCCCTCAGTTTAATCCCCCAGTACTACACACACACACACACACACACACACACACAAAACAGCTCTCACTTTGGGATACTGAATGCCTTTCCCAGGGTGCCCTGGGAGAGGCACCCCCAACCCATCACGCATGTGGCGGAGATGGGAAAATCCTACTGGGGAACCCTAAAGCACGCCATGCCGCCGTGAGCTTGGCTGTGCCCAGTGCCTCCCCCTGGCTTCTCCTCTCGTAGCCTGTCGGTGCTGGCTGCCAAGTCTTCGAAAGCCGACCCAAGCTGAATGCCTGGCACCAGCGTGTGGAGGCTGTGGTGGGGGAAGACCTCTTCCGGGAGGCCCACGCAGCTATCCTGAAGGCCAAGGATATGCCTCCTGCACTGGACCCTACCTTGAAGGAGAAGTTGCTACAGTCAACTCGGATTTTTTTGCAATGAGCAGGTGGCCCAGGCCTGTGGAGCCACCAAGGGAAAAGCTGGGTTATTGGAATAAAGCAGTGGGGCTGCCTGACTCCTCTGTGGGCTGGGCAGGTCCACAGCCTCCTCCATACATCACGATGCCGTCCCCTCTGTGTCTTCCCTCACATTTAATCTAACATCTGGCTTCAGCCCGACCTTTGCGGAGAGCTTTTGTACATGCTTATGTGGCCCGATCCCTTGTCTTGAAACTTCCCACGATTTCTCACTGCTCTGAGGCTAACAGCACGGCAGTGCCTCCCACCCCTCTGGAGCTACTTTTGCTGGGTGTATTCATTTCAGATCCCTTCCCTGCTCCCGCTTTGGCCTTCTGTCTTGACTCATGCTGTTCCCTCCTCACCTTCTTCATCTAGTGCCCCTCCTCGTGTCTGAGCATTTGGCCCCATCTCTCTTCTCCAGGAGACTTCCCTGACCTCTCCACACCCAGTCTAGGTGAGACAGCCCCTCTGAGGTCCTCAGCCCCAGTGTTTCCTCTCCTCGGGCCTGGCAGGGAGCACCCGTCACAGATGGAGGGTGACCAGGTGAAGAGCTGTCTGATCAGGAATGGTCCCAGTCCCCTAGGTCTTTCACTCTCTGGTGACACTGTCTCCCACAGGTGGGGTACACGGTGGTTCATGCATTTCCTTGCCAGGACAGCAGCCCCTGGTTATTTTTTTGGCCCCTCCCGTTCCACTCTGTCCTGACCACTGCCTTCGCCATCCCTGTCTTTGGCTCCCGGACTTGTCACCTGTTGCTGCCATTTCCTCTTAAGATTGTCACAATCACCTTGTCTCTGTGACCTAAGACCCTCTAATATGTGATATTTAATAAATTGTTAACAGGGCAATGAAGGTCATAGCAAAACTTTTCTTGGCCTGCATGACTTCCCTGCAGCCTCTATTATGCACAATAATATAGTAATTTATATGTGTGACTGAATTTGTTTATAGACACTCAGAATTTGAATTATCCTCTATCTGCAAGTTCCAACTGAAGTGACTGGAAAACTACCAGCAACCCAGTTGGAGCAGGTGGGCAGGTTCTTGATGAGACCAAAGTCTGTTGGTGGGGTTGCCCACAGAACTTTCTGAAATCAGCGGTAGCTCACCTGTCCCATCTGCAGAGGTGGAGATGTGTCCTGGGCAGCCAGTTGGGGAACTGTGAGTCTGCTCAGCCGGTAGAGTGGCGCTCCACCCCTATGCCCTATGGTGCACTCTCGCTCTCCCGCCTTGCCTAACATCTGAGCCCTGAGCTGACAAGAATTTGGCCAGCTGCGTGCGCGCAGGGCTGGAGAAGTGGCTCTGCGTGGCCATCCTGGGAAAATTCCAAGACGCAAGCCGGGCTTGGGGTTGCCTGGACGAGGGGAAGTTGGGGACCCGCAGTCAGGTTCTGTCCACACTCTGCCTTTCAAGTGACCTGGACGCTTCTCCCTGAGGACCTGCAGTTCTCCTGACAACCTTGACCTTAAATGACTCACGATCCCGGGGGCCTGACTTTCCCCTGCCGGTACTAGGAGCCCAGCCACTCTTGTTCTCTGCCCTGATGTGGCCACGTGCCCCGGTCCCCAGTGCTGTCTTTGTTACTCCAGCTCTAGGTGAAAGTTTACTGTCCCCTGTAACGTGTGACTGTGAAGGTGCGGCCCAGCCTGAGGGTGGCGCTGTGTGACTCCGCAGAGCCCTGCTGCATTTGCTCACGCCTTCCATTGGTATGGTGGGTGGAACCGGAACCAGAACCAGAATCAGGGCGCTGGCTTCTGACAGTTGCTCACCAAGGAGGCTGGGTCTGGACCAGTGTGCAATGGTAGTGAGAGGGTCCGTTTGGAACTGCTGTGTGGCCAGAAGCAGTGATCCTGGAATTACAATCCTTGCTTTGACCAGGAAGGACTGACACATTCAAGGCCTGGCACTCTGCCCGCAACCCCGACTCCTATGTCGTGGGAGCGTCTATATTCAGGGTGATGTTAGAGTTGAGTAACTTCCTGGTTTTGCAGTGGACCCTGTCGTCGATCAATTCAAACTGAAAAACCAGGGGTCTTAGAAATTGCAGTGAGGAGCTGGGCGTGGTGGCGCAGCCTGTAATCCCAGCACTGGGGAGGCTGAGGCAGGAGGGTCGCTGTGAGTTCGAGACCAGCCTGGGCTACACAGTTCCAGGTCAGTCTCAACTACATAGTGAGACCCTGTCTCAAAAAACCAACCCCCCCAAAAAAAAATTGCAATGAGGGAGATGGCTCTGAAAAAGTGTTCTGAGGAAGGATGAAAAAGTGGAACCTTACGTGGCCATGCACTAGTGAAAACTTTTGTAGGAATCTTCTTTGAGAAAGAACAGGCTGAGAGAGAAAAGATAAAGAAAGTGTATATTTAGTGAAATAAAACAAGAGTCTGATAACCTCTTGCTATGCATTTTGAGTCTCTGGGCACACTGTAATTATCCAGGGGTTCAGGGTTCAAATCATTTTGCATTCCTGTGGTTAGAGGGTAGATGTGACCTATTATATCTGGTATTCCTGAATAATAGCTTTGGAAGTACGTAAGTCCTGCTTCCATTTTTTGGAGCCCATTTTGGAAAGTTCTCCATGTTGCTTTCCTCATGCTTTATTTCATACTATGAGACCTACCTGGGTGTGGTGGCACTCAGCTGTAATCCTGGCACGTCGGAAGCTGAGGCAGGAGGATTGCAAGTTGGAGTCCAACCTGGGCAACTTAGGTGTGCAACTTAGTGAGACCCCCACCACCTCAAAATAAAAAGGGTTGGGAATGTGGCTCAGTATGAAGGACCTGGGTTTAGTCCCCAGTAACACACACACACACACACACACACACACACACACACACACACACAACACGATTGCAGTGTGAGACCTGGGCAAGATATATCTTCTTGGACCTAAGTATTTCCGTCTGTGCATTGGGATGGCTCCCAGGGTCACTATAAGAGTTGGTGGATGGTCTGTACCGCACTTGCCTTGGCACCTGGCAGGGTACCAGAGTGTCCGTACCTGGAAGAGGAGAGAAAGCCTGATTTTAAGGAAATCTAGGTATCTTCTTAGGCCATTACCTTTGAACCAAGAGAGACTGTGGGGAGGGGGCTCAGAGGATCGCGAAAAGAGTTCTGCCTTGGACGTGTGGGCACCTAGATTCTGGGCCCAGCACAATCAGAGACAAAGCCGCACAGTAAGAGACAAATGAACTATTTCCAGTTTGCAGCTGACTCTTCTGTGAGCGGGGGGGGGGCAGCTAAATGACCTCTTCCTCCCCAAGAAGGCCCTATCACCCAGACCCAATATCTATGGCAAGGTTAAAGTTTCATCCTTAGTGAAAAATATTTCTGAGCCCAGTCTGTGCCTGTGGAGAACTTGAGAAGCTTGAAAGGACTTCCAGAAGGGAGCGCTTATTGGACCAGGAAGGTTGGCAAGGAAGGGATGCTCCTAGTGGGTGTTCAGATCCTCAAGCTGGGGGGGGGGAGATAATGATTCTAACAACAAAACAAATATATTAATGCTCACCATGCATCAGGAACTCTCCTCGCATGATCCCATGTGATGCTTTAAAGCCCTGTCCGTAGTTCCCTTGGGCTGCCTTGTCATCACCTGAATGTAGCTGTATCTTCATATTGTCAGCTTCATAGAGAGGATGTGGCCTTCTGTTTGGCTATCCTAGTCCCTGGTGCTCTTCACCGGAATTCCTGTCATCTCTAAGAGGGGCACATTCACGTACTTCACAGACATTAGTCAGGATTACCCCGCTCATGGCCTTGAACCAAGCTTTGAGAAAACAAGTGTGGCAGACAGACTGGGTCTCCACTCTCTCCTGCAACTGCGGTTAGGAGCAGGGAGGATTGCCCCTCTGAGCCCACAGACAGATGGACTCAACTGAGCACAGAGCAAACCCACTGAGGCCCCTGTGTTGTCTGTCTTGGGTAGGGTAGGCCAGGCCACTATGCAGCTATCAATTTGTATGTGACGGTCCCACTGTAAGATCCTTAACTGGGATTTGCAGGCTAGCAAATACCTGGAGGTCTGATATGGGCTGGCCTGAGAGTCCACAATGGTAGTGCTGCGGAAGAATGGTGGCATTACAAGCATGCGCCTCCACGCTGGGCTTCAGTACACCTCTGAAGTGTCAAATTTTCATTCTATGCAGACTACACAGTTAATAAAGTTAGTTTCTAACAGATTGGAGAAGTAGCTTTTTTTTTTTTTTTTTTTTTTT